TAGATGTAACCTGAAACCTGTGGCATCTAAGAAAGACTATCCTTATCCCTACCTGGGTTGTATTCATTGAAATTCTACTCATTGAAAGTCTTACAAGACGCACTGAAATTAACAAGCCTCTGCTAGTCATGCCCATTTACTTCAATGGATCTACTCTGAGTAGGAATAGCACTGAACACCACCCCATGTCTCAATGTAGACATTACGGCTGTTCTGGAGAACGTGAAAGCTTGCTCATTATTTTGTGACATTTCGGTTGGTCCTAATAAAGTGTAAAGGAATGAAGCTTTTCGGTCTTTTGTGTTGTATTCTTTGTTGAAAAAGGATAGCTTTTAGTTAGAGGCTTTTCTTCACAGGAGGGTCAAAAGCTCAGCCCAAGAAACTGAAGCTTAAGGGGGAAGTGAAACATTAACACAAAAGCAGGGAAGGAATCAAAGAAATTACAGGAAAGAGAACTTAATTCTCATACAAAATTCCACTGCCCTTCTGATTGGCCAAGAGACTGGGAGGAGAAGTGGAAATACAAAGTACATGAACTAAAACTAGCCAAAATAATTAATTAGTGTTGGGCTTGGAACACCACTGGACAAAGAGCGAAAAGCTAAATTGGGGTGGGTGAGGGTGGGCAGGATGGAAAGCGCAGCAGTGGAACTAGAATCTGAGGAATGGAAACTGTTTTAATGTTTAGGTAGGGAAACAGACCACACAAGGTTTAACTAGATGCATTTTTTTGGTGTTGTTTGAGTATTCCTGATCAAAAATAAAACAAAACTGTTTAAATTGCTGCTTTACAAACATTTACTAAAAGCTAAACTTGTTTTTAAAAACGAAGATCATGGCCACTGGGCCCATCACCTCCTGGCAAATAGAAGGGGAAGAAATGGAGGCAGTGAGAGATTTTACTTTCTTGGGCTCCATGATAACTGCAGATGGTGACAGCAGTCACGAAATTAAAAGAAGCCTGCTTCTCGGGAGAAAAGCAATGACAAAACTAGACAGCATCCTAAAAAGCAGAGACATCACCTTGACAACAAAGGTCCATATAGTTAAAGCCATGGTTTTCCCAGTAGTGATGTATGGAAGTGAGAGCTGGACCATAAAGAAGGCTGATCGCCAAAGAATTGATGCTTTTGAATTCTGGTGCTGGAGGAGACTCTTGAGAGTCCTATGGACTGCAAGAAGAACAAACCTATCCATTCTTAAGGAAATCAGCCCTGAGTGCTCACTGGAAGGACAGATCATGAAGCTGAGGCTCCAATACTTTGGCCACCTCATGAGAAGAGAAGACTCCCTGGAAAAGACCCTGATGTTGGGAAAGATGGAGGGCACAAGGAGAAGGGGACGACAGAGGACGAGATGGTTGGATAGTGTTCTCGAAGCTACCAGCATGAGTTTGACCAAACTGCGGGAGGCAGTGGAAGACAGGAGTGCCTGGCGTGCTCTGGACCATGGGATCACGAAGAGTCGGCCACAACTAAATGACTAAATAACAACAACAACAAACTTGTTTTTATTTAACATAAGATTGGCCATGCTGGATGAGCCCAGTAGCCCACTTTGTCCTAAGCATCCTGTTCTCACAAAGGCAAACCAAATGCTCAAAATTAGAAAATGGGCATATGCACTATCTGTGTAGAAGACGCCCCCAGATTTTTGACCATATTTTAAAGTAAAAAAACCTAGTCTTATACACAGAAAAGTACAGTAATCTTTAGACTTCCACCAACATGCCTTCAGCTTGGGGGAAAAAGCAAACGAAAAAGTTTTCCTTTCCTACTGCTTCCCATTCTCTCCCTATCAACTTAGCTTTCCCATGCTTTTGAAGACTTGTGGAAGGATGTCTGCTGGATTTTGCTTTTAGACGGACTATTAAAAGATAACAAATAACAAATGCTGCGATATAACCCAATCATCTTTGAAAATGATATCAACGTTGTATTCCTTCTTAACCGGATTTATTTTTGTTTTGTGATCACTGTTAGAGGGTGTATTTGATGCTATTTTCCAATGGCAGCGCAACATTATCAAATCAGAATCCAGTTGTAGCGTTTAATACTTCATGACTTCTTCTAATACAAAGGCAGGGACTGAACCAAAGCGACACCAACGTTGGGGGAAAAGCTGCTTTTATGCCTCCCATGCTTCAAAGAAAACCTAATTTGTACTGCAAGATGTAATACTTCACATGGCAGTTGACATGGCTTTAAAAAGATTCATTTACAGCTTGTCTTGAACTGTGGTAAATGGGGAAACAGGAGGCCCTGCTTTGGAACAAGAAGAAAATGGTCTGTGAGATTTGTAGTTAACTTTGGGGTAATTTGATTTCTGGTGCATTTGTTTATTTGCCTGTTCTACAGCTCCCATACAGAGAGAGCCAGGTAATTTACAACATCAAGGCATCTTAATGTTGTAGTATTTATTCATTTTGTCGTGGCAGTCGTAGGACTCCTCTAATCAGATTGTTTTAAAGTGCATATTAAATCCAGATGCTTTCAAGCTCCTCTAAGGAACTTCGGGCATACCAAGTGCACACAGCAACAAGATGATAAACATTTTGTTTTTCCAGTTAAATGACCACCAGAATAGAAGCTTGTTTAATAATGATGCTTTATAAAGAACTTATATGAGGCACCGAAGATTAAGAAATCCACGCTACAGCATAACCAAGTGCCCATGAGGACAGTGTTCTACAGAAGAATGCAAATGAAGCATTGGATGATGGATAATTTTTAGAGGGATTCTGCTATGCAGTCTAGCTAAAAAGTGCTATTAAAGAGTCAATATATCTTAATAATGACCACTTGCACAGAAAACCAAAATGCTTCCCTTTCTTAGCACAGGAGACCACAGGATTGTTTTCAGTACTGTAGGACAGATAGGAGTTTATGCATTTGTCTGGTGGGCATGGTTTGAAAAGCTGCTTCTTAGGATGTAAACTTCTGGCCAGGGATCATGGAGTCGAGCATAACAAGTGATTGGAACCAATTGCCATTATTTTTAACATTAATTCCTAATTTACCCACCAGGATCATAGCTAGGGAGACCTTGGGGTAGTTGGCCATCTGAAATATTCAAGGTTCCTTCCTTGAATATTCACATTTTCTTCTTTTTCAAGCTCATTTTACTTCTGTAGACATAGGGAATGCGCCAGACACTGCTGTTCACCACAGCCTCCAGTATTACAGCCGATGAAAGCATAGGTTGCTAGGATGACTGACAAGCACTTATTTTCACTTGATTTATTTGACTGCATTTGATACAAGGATTGCACTTGTTTTAGTGACTGCATTTGTTGCATAAACGGCTTAATTTCAAATACAGTTTGACTAGCTGTATTTGCAATTCTGCTGCCAGACCCACCTCTCCCTAAACTCATGGCTACAGCCAAATGATCACATTAAAAGTGCCTATGGAATGAATAAAAGAGCTTGCTTCTGAAATATTATGAAATATGGCCTTGGGTTGTTATTTTTTTAAAAAAGACACACCTGGAGGAGAATTCCTATGTATTATGTAGCCACCCTATATTTATTTAACTCGCATTGTGTTCATATCCATGTGGGACAGGAACATGGAAAAATATATGGATCCGAGGATAAGGTCAAGTTTTGGCTCTTGCGGCAAGTCTGAAAACGTTGCCTGTGCTACTATGCGATGCATAGCAGCTACAAGCATGTATTATTAATAGCGATATAACTGCCATTCAGAAGCATTGCAGGACAGGAACAAATTGGTTTAAAACAAGTGTATTAACATTCCCTGACAGACTTCAAAGGGGTGAAATCACATTATTTTTATTTTATTCCGATTTCACAAGGTACAACCCCCAAATGTGGCAGAGCTCTTTATATGCACCTTGAGAATTGGCATCTAAGGTGTATAGGCCTAAATTGTCACTGCAAATAGGATCAAATTAAGCAGCTCTAGACACAGCCTGAAAAGCTGAAATGAACTGAAATGGCATGAAGGAAGGAAGAGTTGCAGGTTGCTTAGCAACTATTACCATCTCTCCGCATTAGATGAAGGCAGTTCAAACTTTGGAATTGTTGATATTGGTTTCTGGGAATGTGCAGGGAGCTTTTTAATTTCACCATGTCACAAAATCAGCTAGCTGCCATTGTTAGAGGAAGACTTGACATCTGAAATTTGGAGAGTGATCCGTTTTTCAACAGCAAGTAGGCCAGAAGAAGCAGTTAAGAATTTTAGGGCCTGCCTCTTAGCAGAAATGCTACATTTACTTTCCCAAGGTTATCAGAGCTGGGCATCCCTTTGAGATGACAGTGACTGGTGGCAATTCAGTGCTACTGGCAGAATGAGCTGGTATGTTGGAAATAAAACTGTTACTAAAGAGACTTGTATAAGTCTATAAGACAAACACACACACACACACACACACACAGCTGAGCCTAGAGCATTGACTGCTTGTCTCATAGCCTTAACAGTATCATATTTTGCTCAGAGCTCTCATACATTTAGGGTGGGGGGAGGAAGGATGAGACTCCAGCCTCAGTTTACTTTTATACCCCCCTCACAGCAGGACCTTAAGCCATATCACTGGAAAACAAAATCCTGACAGAAACTGACACATTCTGTCCAGGTCTTTGGAAACAGTTCAGAGCATGGCCACCAACGGTTGTATTAGCTAAATGAAATTAAGGATGAGACTGTTTTCAATACTGTGTAAACTCCAGGGTCATTTGGGGTATCACGTTAAAATGGCTCCACGTCTATCACCGAAAGCTGAAGCACAGAAGGAAACACAACATCATTTCATGTCATCATTGCCTTTCATGTGCTGATGTACATCAGATCCCTCCTTTGATTCACTATTGCTTGTTGACAATCAGGTACTTTTAGACACGCTGATTTGAAATGGTTCTGCAGAGATAACATCAGAATCCACTTATATGCTGAACTGATCTTTGGCTTTTCAGAACTGAGCTTCTCCTAACAAATTCCAACTTTATAATTTGTTTGCTTTCTTCTACTTGCCCCTCCAGCACTGATGGATTCTCCTTGAAGGCAGAGCACCTGCCTCAGAATTCAGAATAGCACACAATATTCAACCCGCTCTAAAGAAGCAGCAAATATTATTCCTTTTCATTTGTGGAGCAGAAATCAAAGATTCAAAGCTGTGACTCGCCACACTCCTATACATTCCTATACAAATCCCCCTGAGTACATTGGGGATTACTGCCAGGGAGGTAAGTGAATATTGAAATAAGTTTCTAAGGTTATCATGAATCTGGAGAGGGATGGGGTGGCAACATGTTGAGAACATGTTAACTAACATTATGGGTGCTAGTTAACAAGCTGGCCTGTGCTTTAAATGGGGTCAAAGCACAGAAACAATAAACCACAGTACTCAGATGGTCAGTTTTACAAGGTGTTATAAATTGTGCAAGACTAACTACTCACTTCTAAAGCTGAAAAATGCACAGGTAGGTTTCCTGGCTGAGAACCACTCTCAATTAGGCCATGACTCTGTGCCTTCAAATGAGGAACAATGCACAGTAATGCTAAGATCTGAGTAAATGGGCAAACAGGCACATCTGGGACACCTACTGTTGCCAAAGTTCCCTATCTGGTTTTGTAGTTAAGCCTCCAGAACATGCATTGGTAGTTGTTGGTGAAGTGACAAATGGAACAAATGGAACAAATGTCTCATATGTTTCTTTTTCTTAAGGTTGGTACAGAAATTATGTTTGGTGTTGATCCATTAAAATGACTTGTGCTGAGTATCTATCCAGGAGACACAAACCTCAAATATAAACAGTCATACCTCGAGTTGAATGTGCTTCCGGTTGAGTGAGTTCGAGTTGCGCTCCGCGGCAACCCGGAAGTAATGGAGCACGTTACATCCGGGTTTCGCCGCTCGTGCATGCATAGACACACAAAATGACGTCATGCGCAGAAGCGGCGAAACGTGACACGCACATGCGCAGACAAGCCGTCACATCTTGCGTTCCGTTCAGGATGCGAATGGGGCTCCGGAACGGATCCTGTTCGCATCCTGAGGTACCACTGTAAAAACAAAATGCAATTTCAAAATCCTTAGAGAGCCAATTTAAGGCATTCATCAATATATTTCTGCATTTAGAGTCAATGGGTGGTATCAAATTGGTGGCCTTGTGCAACCAGAATAGATTTGGGGGCAGGGCATGCACTGCCAGAGGAATCTCCAAACATTTCCTACCTTCTTCCTCTTCCATGACCCGATATCTCTACTTGTGGAATAATGTTAAGGACATTAACTGGATATTCAGTATCTTTGTTTGCATATACACATGGTTATATGCTGGTCATTTTACATTTATGTGTTTGCTTCTTTAAAATATTTCATGACTGAGTCATGGTTGAATGCTACCCTGAGACTCTCTCATTGTTAGCTTTCTTATAAATGCACATTATTTACAATCCTTAAGCAAACTCAGACTGGGCTAGCAATAGAAGTAAATTATCAAAAAACTGTGTGAGCCTGTTACCCATGGAACTGGTAAAATACTATCACACAAAACAATGCCTGAACCATAAGTAACAATTATAGATGTTCACCATAATAATTTTCTTTAACCTTGGCTGCCTGCAAGAGCAGTTTGAAGTAGCAGTCATCAGATTACAATATTTCCAAATGTTCTACTGCAGTATATTTATTATTGCACATTGCATTGCACAATGTGATGGTATAAGTAGGTGCCTTATCTAAATTAGAGCTAGTTAATTATATGGATAGGCACTGTGGGTTAAACCACAGAACCTAGGACTTGTCGATCAAAAGGTCGGCAGTTCGAATCCCTGCGACGGGGTGAGCTCCCGTTGCTCGGTCCCTACTCCTGCCAACCTAGCAGTTTGAAAGCACGTCAAAGTGCAAGTAGATAAATAGGTACCGCTCCGGCAGGAAGGTAAACAGTGTTTCCATGCGCTGCTCTGGTTCGCCACAAGCGTCTTATGTCATGCTGGCCACATGACCCGGAAGCTGTACGCCGGCTCCCTCGGCCAATAAAGTGAGATGAGCGCTGCAACCCCAGAGTTGCTCATGACTGGACCTAATGGTCAGGGGTCCCTTTACCTTTATTATATGGATGCTTCAATATTCACAAGAAGCCAAAAAGTTGCACTGAGTAACCAAAAAGCATTCAAACTCTGGAGATGTGAATGGTATAATGGTATAATCCTGAACTGGATCAAAACATGGCGAGATGAGTCTGACTGCAAACGAGCTGAGGATTATTATTATTTAATTACATTTTTGTATTTAATTACATTTTTATTTAATTACATTATTGTAAGTACTTAATGAGATACACAGACATAAGTGGGCAATCACTTGATGGCTTCTAAATTGCACAGTAAGACGTCAAAAGCAGTGCATGAAGAGGGGTTCTGGATTCCATCTACCCACACAGCATTGCTTTCAATGGGATACATGTTTGAATGTGTATCCACATTCTGGCAACTTGTACCAATAACTGTGTGTTGCTGTTTTAGTTATTTTCAGTTTATATGACCTATTTTCAAATATTTTGGAATCCTTTGAGATGTCTTGCATCATTAGATCATATTTGCTGTCGTTTCTCCCCCAGACAACTAGTCAATTTGTTCACCTGTTTTTAGAAGCTGTTCTCGCAAAGTTCACCAAGAGCAGCAGAAATACATCTGTTATGCATCTTCCTCCTGAAAAGGATGCTTTAATTGTTGTGTTACAAAAAGAATAGTTTGCCCCTGTTGTTTTAATGGAACCCAAGCAGAACAGAGCTGCTTAGTTCTGCTCCAGCTACCATTCTAAAGCCTTAAATCTGCAGTACTGTCATGTATCCTTCAACTACACCTACAGCTGGTACTGCTGTTTCTTTTAATGAGACTTAACATGGTTCAGTTCCTTATGCACAAGGTTGTGTAGCACATATGTTCTGGCCCCACAACAGTGTAACTACACAGAGGAGGAGGCTAGACTCTTTGCCAATATTCAGGAAGAACAGCAGCCCATTGGATCCAATCATAATTCTAAGCATTAAGCTTTATTATCAGACAGGAAGTTGTAATCTAATTAGCGCTATTTGCACATCAAGACATAAGATTGCATCGAGTGCATGTCCTTGGTTCAGTTCTATTATTTTAATGATGCACCAATTGTCCTGTCGTGGGCAGTCCAGAGCTTATGGTATCATCACAGTTCTGTTTCTGAGACAATGGGTTAAATGGCAAAGGCTGACAGACCACAACCCTCTAAAAGAGGTCATTCAGTTGAAACAGGTTTGAAATTAAATCATTTAGGCATAGTGAAAAAAATAGATCTAAACAGTTAGCCCAGAATGGGAACTAAGGACTTAATGGAAGCCAAAGAAGTACTCAGTACAACACACTGATATGACTTCATCAACGGATGTGGCACATAAAACCCTCTTTGAAACTAGTATGCATAGATCTGGTGAAAACAAGGAGAAAACTCACACGAAACAAAAAATGTGCCATGTTGTCATAGTAACCAGTGTTGCAAGAAATAATGTTCTGAAGCAAAAAGCAAACAAGCTAAAAACAAAAACACCCCCCCCCACCATTTCTAACGCAATCAATGGAAAATAAGAGGTGTTGAGGTTGTTAATATTTTGACAGACTACAATAAACAAACATTTACAGACAACTGCATGTCTTCTTTTTGAAGTAGTAAGCATTTGGCTGTTGATGCCCCTTTCATACTCTAAGCAGATCTACCATATATTTTGGAAGGTGGTGTGCCTGTCTATTCATCTGTTCTCTGTGCATTCCAGAGCCTCACGAGATACCATCACCAAACCTGATATGGTGGTTCCCGAGAGGGAGGAGGCAGTTTTTTGGATACTGCATGCTATTTTGAATCAAGATGGTGGACCGAAACATTCTGAACTCCACCACTTCAGATGCCTCTGGAAATATTGTTGCCCAGTTAGGTAGGTTCGAGGAGTGGATTTCGGCCTATGATTGAATGCCATCAGACCCTGTTTTGAATTCAGCTGGTGGACCACACCGTTTCAAATTGTGCCAATCTGGATGCCTCTGAAGATATCGCTGCCCAATTTGATGTTGCAGTTCCAAACTGTTGTGATGTGGACATCTCCAAAGATATCTCTCGCCATTGGTTTTGGCCCCCTTTGTAATAGTGACAGCTGATACAGGAATTGAGCCATGTGCCAAGTGAGGAATCCTGGAGGGGTCTGCTCTGCCATCATGTTTAGGGAAGTTTTTAATGACTGATGTTTCAATGTATTTTTAATATTTTGTTGGAGGCCGCCCAGAGTGCCTAGGGAAACCCAGCCATATGGCTGGCGTTTAAATAATAAATTAATATTAATATTAATATTAATGTTAATATATTATGTTCCCCACAGAGAACATACTGTTTTGTGATCAGGGGCAGGAGAAAGGAGACAGTGTTAATTTAAAAGCCCAAATTCTGGGTTGGATTCTATTCGGATTTTCCATGGTCAGGTCATGTGTGTGCACACAAGTGAACATATTTTATTATCAATTTATAAATCTCAGGCTTTTTGTTGTTTCTCAGAATTCCCAAGAGATGCCAGGAACTTTCAGCTACTTTTGTATAATTTGCAGAAAATATCTGCTTTACTGTGTGCCATCTGGAATATGGTAGTATCTATTGACAGTATAGCTAGCTAATCGATGCAGTGTAGAGTCTGTCGGAGACTACTATCCTCTGGAGTGCATCATTAATATAGTCAATATTTTAAAATAATTTACAATCTACTTAGAGCACTGAAGATCCATCAATGTGTACTTGAAGGAATTTCCTTAAAGCAAAGTACCCATCAGTATATTAAGGTTGAACGATAAATGTTCAGATTAGTATTTGTAATTAAATGGATACCCATTAAAATAAAGTAAGTGTTTCTACACTCAAGTCAAACTGTTTGATAAACCAGTTATGGTAAACACAGTGTAGGTATTAAACCTCTATAAGGAAACAGGTGACACAGATCTGGAAGCTCTCACTGGGCAATGGCCAAAATAATGGCAGTCTCATTTCACAGCAAGTGATGCAGAAGATTAAATATTTACAGATAAAAGGTGGACAAATGCAGATGCCATATGGCCATTCATGTTAGGAGCTCTACAGAGAAATTGTCTTTCTACAGGTAAGAGATTAAGGGTCAAATAAGATGTGACATGAATTGCGTTAATGCAATTAATGCACTCTTCTGTT